GCCCTGACAATGTTCACTTTACTTATTCTTCATAGATGTGTATAGCTTTAGTTTGCACATTTAGGTCTTTATTCCATTTTGAAATTTTAGTCTATGCTACGAAACACAGATCCTTTTTCATTTTTCTGCATGTGAGAATCCAATTTTCCCAGCATATTGATTGAAGACTCCTTTCTCCATTGAATGGACTTATTAGCATCGCTGTCAAAAATGAGTCAACCATGGATGCATGAATTTATTTCTGGACTCTCAAGTCTACCCCGTTTGTCTAAGAATCTCTTGTTATACCAGAACCAGGCTGCTTGGATTACTGTAGCTGTATAGTGTATTTTAAAATCAGCAAGTATGAGCTCTTCTTCTTTTCCTTTTAACGTTGTTTTAGTTACTCAGGACTTCGTGCCATTCACATAAAGTTGAGAATTGATTTTCCTACTTCAGTTAAGAAGGTGGTTGGAATTTTGATCATAATTGTGTTGAATCTATGAATCAAATGAGGCGGTATTGGAATCTTAACAGTTAACTCTTCTGATCCATACCCATGCAGCATCTTGCCATTCAATCTTCTTTGACCAATGTCAACACTGTTCTAGAATTTCCATTAGGTAAGCCCTTCACATCCTTGGTTAAACTTACTGATTGCTCTTTTCATGGGACCCAAGAAAAATGAAACCCTGGATAATTTCCATCTTTTCTTTGTGTATCTGTGTTACTTATCGGTCCATTTGTGAGGGGTTTTGTTTTCTTTACGTTGAGGTGTAATCTATACCGAAGGCCTTTGTCTTTTAACTTCACCAGAAGTGCTTCAGGTCCTCTGTGTGTACAGCCAAGTTGTATTGTTTGCTGATCCCAGGTTGTTAATGAGCCTTCCTCTAATCCTTAGGCTGTGTTTGTTATCGTCTAGATTTCTAGATTATCTTAAGGATGGTGAAAGGATACAGCTCTGGCATGTGCATTCCCTGATTTTAAACCACGAAGTATCCCCTTGTTCCTGATACGATCACAGGGACTCTTTTACCCCATCCTATTGAAAATTATAATTCACCCCTCCACATCCAGTACTCCTGGTTAAGATGACCTTATTCTACTTTGATCTACAGCACTTCTCACTTGGGACACCACCTCGCTTGCTGAAAGCAGAGAGGACTTCAAATACTTACTGTAAAGATCAAAGACCACATACATGCTTCACTGTGGACTCAGCATCAATAGAAGGAAACCAAAAATCATCACGACTGAACCAACCAGCAATCCCAGGATAAAAGGGTCAGAAACAAACGTGGTGGCCCCTGGAGGATGAACCTGTTCTTGGTAAAACCCCATGGTATTTTCAACCACCTTACACGCAGATGAAAAGCTAGGCCGGGAATAAGGAAGAATGAATGCCTTTGAACGCTGATGACGCGGAGACTAGTGAGTAGAGCCTGGATGGCCAGAGGAATGAACTCGGGCCTTGAGCTGCCAGGAGGAGGAGGAGTGCAAGCCGAATGCTCCTTAGAAGATAAGGTGGCAAGACTTAGTTCCATGACTTTGGACATGTTCCTCAGAGGGACCAGCCCCTGATGGACAGCATGCTGGATACAGCAGCATGTCAGTGCAAGAGAACATGCTCAGTAGGACGGAGTGACAGAGTGGCTGCAACATGGGCTTAAAGACAGAAGGAGAGTGAGGCCGGTGTGGGACTGGGGAGCGCTTTGCTCCGTTGCACACGTGGTTGCTGAGTCCGGTTTGACTCAACGGCCCCCAAGAACAATAGTATACTAGAAAACATATTCGTTACGCTTTAAAATATGTATATTTATTCTCCTACTAAATTAGAACTCTCACAATGGCTGGGATTGCTGTCTCTCTCATCCACAGCTGTACCTCTGGCTCACAGAAAGAAAGAACGCCAATGTCAGAGGACGGCACGACATAAAGTGCCTCTTGCAGTAGCAGGAGCTCGAGTGAAGCCTTCCCATTGGTGGGTCAGATGCCTGCAGTGACCTTGTTGCTGAGTTTTGTGTGACCTGGCCCCTGCCTCCCTCCCTCTTGTCCTGTGCTGTACCTTTGTCCCTACTCATCTCTTTCTAGCTACGCTGGTTTCTTGGTTCCAGAAGACAGCAAGATTGTCCTACCGAGGGCCCATGCTCTAGCCGTTCCCATCACCTATACTCTCCCTCTGCTTGACTGGATCCCTCTCGTCATTCAGGTCTCTGCTTCATTGTCACGTGTTCTTTCCCGGCACCCAATCTACTCTACTGACTTAGTTACTTCCTTCATATGCCACCTGCTTGAATTCTCGGAGCAGCCCTTACTACCTGAAATTCTCTCACCAATTCTTTGTAATGGCTGTCCCCTCCCTCCCTCTCCAATTCCATACATTATGCTACAGAGTGTATTACAGAAGGAGGAAAGAGAGATTTCTCCCAGGTTGTCTCCCCCAAATACATGCCAAACTTAGCTGCCTGCAACACAGTTTTACTGGCTCAAAACCTAGCAAGTTAACTGAGATTGCTAGCAGTACTTTAAAATTTGCATTGTTAAAACAGAAGGGGGAGAAGAGAAATCTTATGTGACAAATTTCATTTGGTCATTTTAACGAAAACATTTTCTCCTTACTAAAAGCTAGTAACAAAATTAAGGCAGATAAACACATTTTCACTTCTACAGAGAAAGCTGACCCTAAGAAGTCCCAGGAAGACGGGAATCGCGTTTGGGATCCAGGTCCATTCATCACCTGGAGAAAGGGTCATGCACTTACGTTTTTGCAGAATAAAGCTGGTGGACCCCCCTTAGAAGGACGCAACCACGTTTGGAGAAAAATGGACAAGGAGGAGATGAAGAGACCACCCAATCGTCACCATGATTCTGTTTCCAAGTTGCTGACACCCCAAAGGGAGGGGCTATTTATGTTTTCACAGGCAAAGGAGATAGGTGGGTCCTCTTCAGCCAGCAAGGCCCAGAAGAAAGGAGGGAAGCTGATGTTGTAACCTGACCCTGTCCTGTTACTGAAGTTACTCAAAACATCAAGACCTCGTAGATGCCTGAGACTGGCAATCGCTGCCTGCCGATATATATCTTCCATTGCTGATGCCGTCTAGGGGACACTGGACTCTATCATAACTGAACATTTCATATAATAGTGACTGGACTATTACAACAGACTGTTCTTTTGCTAAAAGATCAAGATTTTGGACTTATTAATGTTAAAATGTGACTGGAATGTAACGGATTTTTGTATAACCGCTTACCCATATAATAAGACATTGCATGATTGGGATTTGATTAGAAAACATATTCAAGGGTTTAAAGGAAACATTTCATTAGATGTTGATCATCTAAAAAAGGATATTTTCTATACTTTCAAAGACAGGCTTGAGGCGTCTCCTGGCTCTGATATGATTAAACAACTGGTGAATGGCATGGAAGGGTTGGGCCCGCGTGCTTGGGTTCAAAGCATTTCACATAGCTCAAGTTCCAGCCTGTGTTGTTTATCATCATAATTTTGACGCTTGCAGTCTCGTGCTGCTTCTATTGGAAGCTAAGTGATATGAAGAAAGACCATGTTGCCTCTGTGACACTATTAAATCTTAAATGTACTGCAGAAAGAGGAATTGTGGGAAACTAGCACTGAGGGAAATATAAGACTGGGACTTATTCCCTGACTGGTGTGGAGGGAATCTGGAAGACTAGCATTCCAGGGCAGGAAGACCTCCACTCTGGTAGTTGGAGACATAGTCCAAGTACATTTTCCTGCGGTAGTCTATCATATTTCCACAGTTTCATCTCTGAAAGCTGTGCTGCCTTAAAGTGAGCACATGGTTGATTCTATCTCCCTTTAGAAGCAGACATTCCTATTTGCTTATTTCTTCTCGCCAGGGGCATCCAATCCCTCTCGTACCTTCCTCCAATAACAGATGGGCATGGGAAGACTTTGTTCCCCATTGCCTGGATTCACAATAATTTGCCATAAGCCTGCGCTTTTGGCTTAGCTATATTAATGTGGTCATTCAATTTGCCTTGACTGCTCTCAATGTATAGAAAATAGCCACATAGCCACAGTAGCTCTTTTGAATTTTACATAGAAAACAAAAGGGGGAATTGTGGGAAACAGAAAGATTTCTCCCAAGTTGTCTCCCCCAAATATATGCCAAACTTAGCTGCTTGCTACACATGGTAAATGACTATACACTTGGAGGGCAACAGAAGTAGGTCAGAGGTTATTCTCCCTAAGGGTTATCAGCCATCTAGAGCCATCGGACTATAGTCTGGCCCACTCCCTTCTGATAAGGAAGTAGCCGACTTGTTTCCCTGAAGGAGAGCCCAAGGAGGTCAAGCCCACTCAAGGGTGACCAAGATTAGGCCGCCATCATGAATCTAGGGTCTGCCCATCTTGTCACATGCATACCCCTAGTCCATCCCCTTCCTAGCATGTGTACATCCCTAGCTCACCCCCTTCCTGTTACACTAATACCCATTATATACCCCCCTCCTATTGCTCGTATTGCCTCTTGTACATCACCTTCCTGTGACGTATGTCTTTACCTTTAATTAGGAGACATGCACACCCCCAAAGACATATAAGCCTTGGTTATCAATAAACTGTTCTCTCTCCTTCCCTCTCGTCCAGTGCTGTGTGCGGACCTGGCTGATGAGATCATGGCCATCCAGGAGGTGAGCATGCTACCATGAAGTGTGTCTGACTTCTTTACTTTACTCTCTCTCCTATCTCTCTCATGCGCTATGACTTTACTATAATCTTTATATTTCTCAACCATACAATTGCGCTTACTGAATCTGCAATTAGTTGTGGGGGGCTGGCTTCCCCCACAGATAAGACTTTCCTGTTCTAGCCACTGCTGTATCCCCTGCGCCTACAGCAATGCCTGCCACGGAAAAGAGGCTCCATAAAGCCTGCTGAGTGGACGTAGCAGGTGGAGCTGTCCCTGGGGACCGGCAGGATGCCAAGCCGCAGGGAAGAGAAAGCTCCTTTGCCCGGAGTGAGAGAGGGAACGTCTCACCTCTGAATGGTTTCCTCCTGTTCCTTAACCATGTGCGCCAGCTGCTGGAAGATGGAGCCCAGCTCAACAATTGTCGACTCAATGTTCTGCATGGTGTCTGCTCGGCTCTGGATGTAGGAATCCTACAGGGGAGCAGAGAGACAAGACCACGGTGAGTGCTCCACGCAGCCTCCGCCACAGGCCCCCCACTTATGGGCCATGGAGGATGGAAGAGCTGCCACCCTGCTTTGGGGAAAGCTGAGACTTGCTCCCGAGCTCGGAGCCTGGGTACCTGCTCATCAATGAGCTGCAGCTGCTGGCTGGTCCGAGAGGCCGTCATGTCGATGGCCACGTCCCCAGAGGCACTGGGCTCCGCCGCTCCCAAAACCACAGGACCACCCCCTGGGGGAGGAAAGAAGCAGGGCATCATAGTGGTCAAATGCAGGCTCGGCTCGGAGGCCATCTGCTCTGGAGCTGAACGTCAGCTCGGCCAAGGACGAGCCCGGTGACCCTGGGCACGCCATTTCACCTCAGTGAGCCCCAGTTCCCGCAACTGTCAAGCAAGGGATGGTAAGAGAAGCTTCCTGAACGGGGTGCTGAGGGTCAAGTGAGGGACTACGGTTAAAGCAAGCACACACACACGTCAGCTAGCGCCATTCTTCTGCAATATCCGAGTCCACCCCCAACGTGGGAATCACATGTGGCTCACAAACACCAGCCAGGCCGTTGGACTGTGAGTGGAAATGCCTACGGACATGTGCATGACGGGGACGAAGCCCTATGCGGGCTTCTGCACCCTCCCGTGGACATCTGCCCCGAGTACCCTGCAAGCAGAATCGCAAGGCCTTGCCTACCAAGGGTTTCCCGACTGCCGCGACTTACCCAGGTGGTTTCGGGCAAGCGGCAGGGTTGACACGGGGGCCTGAGAGAACTGCTCCCGCCGGTTCTTCTGCTGTTTCAGATTCTAGGGTTGGGAGAGAAACAGAGTCCCGACGCCTCTGGAAAGGGCCATGCTGAGAAGACCCTTCCTGGTGGCTCTTCCAACTCTCTTGCCCTCGCCCCACCATGTGCCCTCTTTGCCATCCACCCTCTTGCCCCTCGTCCCCCCGCCGCCCAAGACCCTCCTCCTCCTCCTCCAGAGAGTCTTCTCACCTCTGTCCTCACTTCCAAAACCGACTTGAAGTTGTTGGACATGGAGGCCAGCTTGGACTAGGAGAGAGTGAAGCAATCAGCCAGAGAAGGGAACACCTGCCTCCCCAACGTCGCCCTCCCTCCCAGCTCTGATCTCACCTGCAAGGAGACCACGATGGTGTTAGAATGGGTCTGCAAGTGCCGGCCACTCTGGCTGCCCTTGGCCCTCACAAAATCTTGAAGCTGGGCGATCTGTTTGTTGAGGCTATTGATGTCCTGGTGGAAGAGACAATGGAAACACTGAGGATCAGCCAGGGGCCTCAGCCACTGGCTTGCCCATAAGGGACATCTTGGCAGGGAGGCAGAGCAGAAACTGCTAGCAGAAAGGAAGGTATCGCCATCAGACGGGAAGGGGCTGCTGGGATTTCCCAACAAGGATGTTCTGGAGTGTGCTCTCAGTCACTGCTGAGAAGAGTGAGAAAGAGCAGAAACGAATCCTCACTTCTTTGTAAACGATGCACTTGTTGCCCTCTCCATCCCACTGCCCTCCCTCCTCCACTCTGTAAGGCTATGCTCCTGGCTAAAGGCTTTGCTAAAAGGCCGATCGTGGGCCCAGAGCATGTTGACCAACAAAGCACCAGGGTCCGACCCAGGAAAAGGGACGGGGGTTGTCTGGAATGCTTTTTAACAAGGATTGCAAGAGTCACACCTGTCCCTTGCCCACGGTCACCCACAATGAATTTAGTGTCACAGCCAGGCCAACCGTGCCGGATCATGTGTCTTCCACTCCCAGACAGGTCTCAAGGGCCCCTTCTTCAGCCAGGCTATCCTCCATCACCCCACCTAAAGCAACCCAAGGAGCCTTACTGGTACAGGTTAATCACAAGGTTGACAGTTGAAACCCACCAGAGAGAGTGAGACTGCCTGCACCCATGAAGAATCCTAGTCTCAAGAATCCTGAAGAGCAGTGGTTCTCAACCTTCCTCATGTCTCGACCCTTTCATGTGGTGGTGACCCCCAACCATCAAATGATTTTCGTTGCTACTTCATCACTGTCATTTTGCTACTGTTATGAATCGGGCGACCCTTGTAAAGGGTTGTTTGACCCCCAAAGGGGTTGTGACCCACAGGCTGTAGAGCAATTCTACTGTGTCCTACAGGATCTCTATGTCGCTAATTGCTAAATCCTAGCACAAGACGACTCTCAGTAATGTGAGGGAGGGATTGAAAAAATAAGCAAATGGGTCCTTGCAGTACCTCTACTACGTAGGTACCGTAAGTAGAGTACAACCCAAATATCAGCCGAGGCACCTTAGTTTTACCACAACTGCATTTAAAATGTGCTGAAAACAAACTAAAAAATGTGCTGAAAAACATGGCTTATACTGAGTATAAACAATACTGCCTTTATCTTTTTACTGATAAAAGGATGCAAACTCACAGAAGCTAGATCGTCACTCAAGGTCACAACATAAGTAGTTGACAAGGGATCTGCCTAAATCCAGGAAGCTGGTTCTTACAGGCCGATGCAATGCCCAATAGTGAGGGCCAGCTCAGTCCCTCTTGAAGAGGTCTGCCCGTGGGCCTCTGCCATCATCGTCTTTGGAATGGACAAACACAGCAGCCCCTTCCCTGGCTGCTGCTCTTGTCCTGTCCACGTTCCATGTCACAATATCCTAAGATTCCCTTTGGGACCCAACGTTTCCAGGGTGACTCCACTCCTAACGCCCACTGAGCGTCTGTCATGTATTACTGCTGATAGGTGTCATTGAGCTAGTTCCAATTCATAGTGACCCTGTGAGTCGACTTTCAAGAAGTTTGTAGGAAAACAGAATAGAAATCAAACTCTTCCACACTTTCTGAAGTCCCTTCACCTGACAGAAGGGAACAGGATTGAACCCTCCTCACAACTGCTGCTATGTCTGAAACCCACGGTTAATCCCTCTCATCGAGGGTCTCCGTATTGTTTGCTGACTTCTACTCTCCCAAGCATGATGTCCCACGTGATAACATGTCCAAGGCCCATGCGATGAAGTCTCCACATCCATGCTTCTGAGGGGCAGGCAGGTTGGCTGTATTTTTTCCAGATGTGTTCATCCTCCACACAGTGCATGGTATGCTCAGTACTCTTAGCAAACACCTCGGTTCAAAGGCACCATCCACCTTTCTTTCTTCTTCCTTGTCCACGGTCCAGCTCTCACATGCACGAGGCCCTGAAGATGCCATGGCCTGGGTCAGGGGCACATAGTCCTCAAAGTGACACCTCTGCTCTTTACACTTTAAAGAGGTCTTCTGCAGATTTCTCCAATGGCATATATTATTTGATGTCTTGACTGCTTTTATGTACGCTGACTGTGGAGCCCGGTACAATAAAACCTTTGACAACTTCAATCTCTTCTTCATTTATCAATATTTACCGGTCCAATTTCCAATTGTGGGGATTTTTCTTTTGACACCCAATTGTAATCCACAATAAAGGCTCGAGTGTGTGGTCACTAGTAAGTGCTTCAAGCCCTCTTGAAGCGAGCAAAGTGCATCATCTCACAATGGAACAGGGGCCATAGCTGACCTCCGGCTTTGCGACGGTCAGGATGCAGAGGTCAGATGTGCCTCCACCCTCCATCCTTCTTTATTTGGATGCCAACTGTTCCTCCCGTGACAACACTCACCATGAACTGGGTTTTATTTGGGAAGTCAACAGGGCATCATAACTCGGGATCAGAAAAAAAAAATCAAAGCTACAATCACTGGTCGGATGGCACACCTCTCCCTCAGCCATCAGGCAAGTCTCTCTCTCCAGGCCTCAGCCCCGTGGTCCATGCAGGAAGCCAGTCCACTGTTCTGCCCCAGTCTCCTCGTTGGCCCTGCTCCTCTGTGCTGTATTATGGCCTCGGACTGGCTCCTCAGCTCTGTCCTGAGGTCTGCGCTGCAGCACCCGGCGCCTCTGGTCTTAACCTCCACCACGTCTGACAGAGACCTCAGAGCGCTCCATTGACGGCTCTTCTTCCCACGGTCCTGGGATTTCTGTGTTCCTGCTTCTGAGATGGCTCACTCTAATACGGAGGTGTAGGTTTTATCTTTCTGCAGACCACAGACCCCCAAAAACACAAAGTTGGTGACTTGATTCACACCTCTTACTGAGGTGCAGTCTCAAAACACATCTGACCTTAATCCTGTAACAGAGAACTCCATCCAAGGCTAGAATTTATGATACATCACTCAAGGGTTTATGGCTACAGGGGCTATGTTAAGTACTGTCTCACAACTGCACAATACAGACTGTGAATGAGTCTTCCTCCCATCCCGATGTCAAATTCTTCCCTGACTAGTCTATCTGTTTAGATTATTCACGCAGCACACAAAGTATGGTAATGATATAATCCTGATACACACCTTTCCTGTTTGTTTGTTTGTTTTTCAAAGCTTTCTGGATTTTAAACCATGCAGCTTAAACCTTGCCTGTTTGAAAGACTGTCTCTTGGTCTATGTACAGATTATGCACTAGCACAATTAGGTGTTCAAGAAATTCCATTTTGTATGTTTGACTTTGTAGGATAGACACTCAGGCTATGTCTCTGAAAAAGGAAGTGGCTAAAATCTCTTCCTTTATGGTGTTTCTATTTTTATCTTCTTACCTTGTTGGGGGAAGTTAGGATAGGGAGGTAGAAGCAGAGGCAAACAATCAGCATAATAAACAAGATAATTCCTCCCCCCCGCCCCCCCACTATCATGATCCCAATTCTACCTTACAAATCCGGCTAGACCAGAGGAAGTACACTGGTACAGATAGGAACTGGAAACACAGGGAATCCAGGGCGGATGATCCCTTCAGGACCAGTGGTGAGAGTGACAATACTGGGAGGGTGGAGGGAGGTTGGGTTGGAAAGGGGGAACCGATTACATGTGTCCTCCTCCCTGGGGGACAGACAACAGAAAGGTGGGCGAAGGGAGATGTTGGACAGTGCAAGATATGAAAAAATAATTTATAAATTATCAAGGGTTCATGAGAGAGGGGGGAGCGGGCAGGGGAAAAAATGAGGAGCTGATGCCAGGGGCTTGGGTCAAGAGTGGATGTTTTGAGAATGATGAGGGCAATGAATGTACAGGTGTGCTTACACAATTGATGTATGGATTGTGATAAGAGTTGTATGAGCCCCTAATAAAACGAGTGAAATAAGAAAGATAATTCTAGAGAGTATTAGAAGGGAAAGAAAATGGAACAGAGGAAGAGAATCCGAGTTTGGGGGACTGGAGCATTAGCACAATGAGGGAAGGCCTTCCAAGCAGGGCACAATGGAGCCAAAGCCGGAAGGAGTCTGAATCTTGGACGGCCCCCTTTTAAGCCACGTTGCTGCAGAGTCTATTTCCTGTCTGGAACATCTTCTACCACGCTACCCAACACTGAAATCAGATTATTTTATTTCCACTATACAAGGGTTACACCCCCCCAAAACAGAATAAAGCTCCACTGGGCAGAACTTTCATAGTAAGCCTTTTTCCTGCTAGGCAACCATCGAGCAACTTGCTCTGAGTTCGTGCACCCAGTAGTGTCACCTGGGAAATTTCTCGCTGGTCATAGTGAATTTTTTCGATGAAAGCAGTTGTGCTTCAACCTTTTTTGTGATGCCCATTTAAGTGAAGCATGTGTGGCTGTGAAATTTTGTTTGCTGCTGGGGGAAAATGCCGCAGACACTGTTGTGATGTTGAACACAGCTTACAAGGGCAGCACCATGGGGAAAACTCAAGCGTACAGTGGATTTCTTGTTTCAAAAAAGGTGCAATTTGATAGTTCCGTCAACTTCCCAAACAGATGAAATGTAGCGCATTTGGAGTTCATTCCACCAGGTCAGACTGTTAATCGTAACAGTGTGCAACAAAAGGGCCTGATTTGTGGCTGACGGGAGACTGGTTTTGCCACCAAGACAACGCACCTGCTCACGCAGCCATCTTAGTGCACCAGTCTTTTCTGCAAAAAACAGTATGCCTCTCTTGGCCCAAGGACCTTACTCACCTGACCATGCTCCATGCGACTTCTTTTGGTTTCCATGAATGAAGGACATGAAAGGACAGAGATTTGACGATGTAGAAGAGGTAAAGAAAAAAATGAGGGAGGTGCTGTCAGCCATCCAGCCAGATGAGTTTGAAAAATGTTTCCAAGAATGGAATCGCAGAGTTGACAAATGTAGTAAGTGTAATGTAGAGTACTTGGGTGGTGATAAGGTTGTTTTGTTAAAAAACAAAACAAAACATAGCTTTGGCAGGGTGGGGGTGGATTTTTTGGGGGGTGTATCCCCTTGTATAACCCTGCCCAGAAACCCCAAGGAATCTCACTGACCTTCCTGAAAGATCTTTTCTGTACCACGTGCGTGTCACACTCACTGCAGTAGGAGCTGACAGGGTGGATACCTCGTCTAAACAATAAGCCTGAACAGAAGGGTCCTCCCTCATGTGTGTGCCCAGCACAGTTCTTTGTAAGTGTAGTTAACTCAGAACTAGCTACTGGTCCGATGGGTTTGGAGGACACTGGAGGCTGGCTCGAGGAACCTTCTCTGGGCTTCCGTGGCCATGGGCAAGGAAAGAAACCGTCTGACCAGTGGCTAGCTGCTCACCTGTTTGATGATATACGTTAGTTCCTCAATCTCCACTCCTTTATCATCAAAGAGGGACTTGCGTTTTGCCACTGCAGGGACAAATGAGAAGCCACGCCAGGTGAGGTCAGAGAATGACTCAGGGTGTAGGGGTCCTCACTGGTTCCCTGCCCCGCCTCTGGCAGATCCCTGATGCACTCACAGATGGTCAGCTTCTCCAGCTTGGCGAATGTGTTGCTGAGGTCTTTCCCAATGCGCCTGCAAAGGAGCATGAGTGAGCACAGGAGGAGGAAGGGCAGGAGAGTGCCCATCCTCACAGCAGCTCTGACACAGCCAGGGCCAACCGAGGCAAAGGCCCTCCTCCCCAGACACCCCACCAAGTCTCTCAACTCACTTCGCCATGAGGGTGAATTCACTGCGCTGCCGGGCAGCTCGCAGGGCGGGCTTGTTTGTCTGAATTCCATTCTGCAAAGCAATGGCAAGAAGAGGGAATGCCTTTAGCTCCCCCTGCCCCTTTCCAGACACCACTGCCGGTGCCCACTACACTCCTCTAGTGCTGAGGGCCTTAATCAGACGACAAGGTTTACCAGGAGGTTAGGGCCCAGACTAAAGACAAGTGGATCGGGATTCAAAGCTCGATTCTCCCACTTAGTAGCTGAGACTGTGGACAAGCCACTTAACCATGCGGGCCTCCATTTCCTCTTCTCCAAAGTGTAGACGAACAATGGACCTACCTCCTATTGTTGCTGTGCCTAAAGAACACAGCAGCTGCCAAGTGCTTTCTTTGGCCAAGTACTGGGTATATGAGGGGGCTTCAAAATGCTCCCGAGTACTGTAAACATTAAATAAATGATAGCTAATATGCTGAAAATGAGTCCCAGTGGTACTGTGGGCTATGAGGTCAGTGGTACCAGCCCACCAGAGGCTCCAGGGCAGAAGGATGGGGCAGTCTGCTCCCTTCAGGGTGCTGTCTTGGAAACCTCATGGGGCATTTCTACTCTCTGTCCGCTAGGATTGGATGGCAGTGGGCAGCACTGTCATGCTAGTCCCCATCCATTCACCCACTGCTGGTGAAGTCAATTCCGACTGCCAACAACCCTGTAAAGTAGACGGAGCAAAACTGCTCCTTGGGGTTTTAAGACTGCAGTCTAACTAGGAAGACTTTGGTGATCATGTGGATGGGCAGCTACCGTATTTACCAATATTGAACACGACAAATAGTTAGTTACCCAGAGCCCACGTGGATTTAGAAATCTTGACTGACACACTCCAAAGTAATTTTGACAGTAATCACTGATCAAGAAAACAACTCTCATTTTAAAGACAAAAAGACAGAACAACTGAGGTCCAAATAGACGATTAAGCTCTTCACCGTCAGGGAGGACACCTGGGTTAACACTAAGCAGCTGGCAGGCACAATTCAAAGTGAATGCCTCCCAGCCAAAGGCTCTTTGTACAACCTGTGCCTTCTCTAAACCACATACAGGAGGGCCCTCACCAGGTTCCCCCTACCCCCATCAGCACTGAGCGACTCCTGCATGCAGACCCTCAGGGGCTCCCTGCCCTCTGGTTCGCTAACCCCCTCTTCTCTGCCGCTCCAGGGAACCCAGACCTCCCTCACCATCACGGTCCCCCAAAAGTGAACGGCGCTGGAGCCCGGCACTTCCCCACCTTCCCCGCCCCAGGGCCTGCTTTACCTGACGGCTCTGCAGGGACTTGCAGGCAGACAGGAACTCCTGGGTCCGATCCCGGCAGGACATGATGTCGGGAGGGGGTGGGACCAGGGCCACTGGGGGGGGCAGAGGGGCGATGTCGCTGCTGCTACCGCCAGCAGTTGCAGGGCCCAGGATCTGTGTCTTTGAGAGCCCCAGGTAGACGCCCTGGTCCGTGTTCTTAGAGCCGTAGCGTTTCCGCGGGATCATTGAGACGCATAACCTCGGACTGCGGTGGAGGGGCGCGTGTCATTCCCCAGGGGGACCCCCCTCCCCTGAAAATCCCTCCCACCAGCCACGTCCGGGGGCTTCTGTGCCGGCACTTCGCCACCACAGACCCGGACCCGGGACGCAGCAGGAAGCGGGAAGGGCCCCCGCTGCCTCCCTGGCTCAAGTCGTCCCCTCCTCAGACTCCTCTTCCAACTTGGCTCGGGGCGATCAGAGCGCCGGCCCCGGGCCCTGAGGCTCCAGGTGGGCCGGTGCAGCGGCTCCAGGCCCCTACCTGGACCCTCAAACTCCTCAGGGGCAAGCGGTGACCAGCTTCCTAAGGCGGGGGACACACTTCGGTGGGCGGAGGACCTCTAGGTGTTTATTTGAATCCGGAAGTCCCACCCGCACCCAAGTCCCGCCTCCTGACAGACTACAATCCCTGATTAGCTACTAGCGACGTCTTTCTTGGCAGGCACGGTCCTGATTGGACGGCGAGGCATTCGCTCACACACCCCCTCAGCCCGGCCGGCCACCCGAGCCGGCCGGCCCCAGTTCCCCTCCCCCCGCAGGCCCGTCGCCGCCCCCAGAGAGCCGCCGTCCCAGCGGCCAGACCTCCTCTTTCAGGGAATCCTACCTCCTCACTGCCGCCTGCCACCGCTGCCAATGCCACCAGCTCCCGGGCCGTCACCGCCTCCTCCCGGAGCTCAGACCCGCCGAAACCCGGCCAAAGATTAGAAGCCGCCACGTCACCCACACGCAACCCCGCCCCTGGCGACGAAAGCGCTGCGCCACGCCTTTTCGAACTCTGCGAGTCGGCGAGGCGCGCCCCGCCCCGCCCCCAGCGTGTGCGCGACTTCGCCCTCCCATTGGCTAGGCCCATTGGCCCCGCCCTCCGGCGCCCTGGGGGCGGGGCCAGCAGCCGAGTCGCATCCTCGCCTTAAAGAGCCCGCTGCCCCCGTGGTGCCAGAAGAGGGCTCTGCAGCCTTCGGGGATCCGCAAGCTGCCAGCTGTGAAACGGGCGCTCGTGCAGGTCCACGTTAGAAACTTTATTCTCTAGAGGCTGGGGTGAGCTGAGGGCAGAGCTGGGGTCACCCCTTCTCTGATTCCTCCTGGATCCCCGCATGGGCGGTTTCCTGGAACGCTCTCCTTTGACTCTGTCCTGATTGCCTCTTGGTCGAGCGGGAAGAGCCCCGCCGGCTGAACAGGGACAGTCGCCGCCACAGCACGGTGATTAGAAGGCTTTCGTTGGACTTGCGCCTTCGTTGGCTCTGGGACTCCGTGAACTCGGACCCTTCGGTGCCTATAGGGTCGATGGGCGGCTGAGCTCCTCTCCCTTTATCCAGCCTCCCCGGGGTTCCCCGGGCAGCCCCCTCTCCAGCGCCAGCCCAAACCCTTGCCCCCCTACCTTCCTGGGACTCCTTGGTCGCCTCATGAGGAGTCTTAGAGCCCTTGTGTTGGCAGCAGCCCATGACCCCGCTCGGCCCGCACTCCGTGCCAGCCCTGCACGCTCCCGCGCCCACGGACCCTCACCCGACCTTTGTGACGTCAGAAACCACCCCGGAGCCCACCCCCTCTTTCCTTTCTGCCATCATAAAAGGCTGAATCCAAATCAAGGATGTTTATTTACAAAGTGGATACAAAAAACCAGAACAAAACAGAGTGGCGTGGTGGGGCCTTCAGGGGTTGGTGGACCCTGGGCACTTCTTTTTATGTCTGGCTTGGGGGCGTCCTTGGCTCTGCGGGTGGGTTTTAGGGCGCTTCCGCTTGGCAGCGGCTTCCAAGGAAGCCCAGAGTTCATCCGTCTCTGTGTCTTCTGGGGACACCTTGTTGGGCTCTTGAGGTTCTTGGGCTTCATCCTGGCGAATGAAGGGGGTCTGGGAATCAGGGTACCAGGGGAAGGAGGCTTCCCTCCACGGGCTCCACCGACCCTCACTTCCTGCTCCCTGAACACCATGCACACCATGGCTGTGTGGCTGGTCCTGTGGGACAGGAAGTGGCCACCCCTTGGCTCCCAGACGCCTGGCCTCAGTCACTCACCTCCCAGTCGTCCCTGCCAGAAAGGAGGAGGCAATTCAGCCGGGACTTGAGATAAACCTGCAAAACAGGCAGGGGCCTTCAGGAGCCCAGACGGGATGAAGCGGGGTGGGGCTGTCGGGGACGGTGAGGGGCCGGACTCGAGAGTGCTGGGCTCTCACCTTGTGCTCCAGGCCCCGTGGGTTGCGGATCCTGTGTACCCTCAAGACTCTGTCCAGGCCGCAGGAGGCTAAGAGAGGCTTTGAAGGGTGACACTGCACCGCCCGGACACCGCCTGCCAGCCCCTTCAGACAGCCCAGGAGGCGCCCTGAGGACAGCAGGGGCATGAGCGCCGGCCGGCTAGCCAACAGCCATCTCTGGTTGACTGCTCTCACCACGTCACTCATCAGCACTGGCCCCCGACCTGACGCTGAGCAGGGGCTCACAGTGATCTTCCTCCTCAGAGGTCCAGCAGGGATGCATACGCTCAAGGTCACACAGTTTGGGTGCAACCAGGATTCGAACAGCAGAACAGTGCTCACCCCCACTCCACCGCATTGCCTCAGAGGGGTCCTGCCTTTTGTGCCCCCACTCCCTCCTCCCAAGACCCCTTGTTTAGCCCACTCACCTTGTCGGAGGTCAATTTCTGCCAACTGCCCATGCGTGTTCCCCACGATCACTGAGCTGAAGAGACCAGCAGCAGGTGTAGTCACGGGACTTCTGGGCCGGCCCCTCCCCCACCCGCCCAGCACTCACTTGCCCTCTGGAGTGAGGGTCATGGCTGTCAGCGGGTATTCTCCATAGGTGGCCTCCAGGACTGGCCGGCGCTGGGGGGAGGCCGGATCATAGACTCGGACCTGGAGGAAGACAGGTGTCAACATACCCTGGGCACACACACCCTCTCCAGACTTCCCCACAATGGCCTGTGACCCACTTGGCCCAATGTTCTCCTCTGAGCATCGGACCAACTCGTGGGAAGGTGTTCTGTGTGTAATAAATTCCTTTCCGTGACCTTCTGCCTGGGTTCTTTGGGAAACCAGCCAGAGACACTGCCCTTGGCCCCAGCTTTCTCCGTCCAGGGTTGTTTTTTTTTACTGTTAAAGATGGTGAACACACTGTAGCGGGGGAGGCCCTGTGGCCGGGGCTGTAGAACCCTGGTACTAGGAGCGCAACTAAGCGCTCCGCTCGGGCTACAAGCTGGGTCACGTAGCCCTGAAGAAGCCTGACAGCAGAGGAGCCCACACAACTGAGCGAGGGCCTTGCCCAGCCAAGGGGAAGCCCGAATGGTGAGGGGAGTGCCCTGCAGAGGGAGAGTTGCACAGCCATCTGCACTGAAGGAAAAGACGCGCTCTCCCCTTCAGGGGAGCCTTCCAGCCTTCGCCTACACATTTCCGGGTCCTGACCCTGCGTGGATCCCCGCTGCAGCCCCTTGGGTTGTGGCTCCACCCTTGGAGACCAAGCCGTGCTGCTTCCCAGGCTCCTGGTCTGGCCTTCGAGCTGATCTGGCCTCTGCTGTGCTTGGCTGTCACAAAGCTCTTGGGTGCTACCAACATGTGTGTGCCTGGAGCCAACCCACTCTGCCGGCCGGTAAGCCTTGGGCTGAAGGCACACGCCATCCCTGTCTCGGTTCTGCTGCTGCGGTCTCTCCCGCGTCTGTGTCATCTCCGGTGTAAACCCTTCTCCTTTCCTTCGGAGCCCTCCGAAGAGCTGCCTTCTCCACCTGTGATCCCACCAACAGTCTCTTCAAGGCAAGCTAGGCTTTTCCTGTTAGGCGTCTTAACGCTCTTTCAGTCTCCAAGACCACTTCCGTATATTATCTTCCCACATCTGTGACAGCAGTTACTTCCTGATAAACTCAACTCTAAGTCTGGTCTTCTGAGTTCTGTGCGGCTGCCCCCCGGCAAGACCAAAGCTCAAGTGCTCCTAGAACATGTCAGCAGGGTTGTGCAGACGGAGCTGCACACATTTGTTGTACGGCACACATTTGCCTAGGAGCAGAAATGGAAAGGGCTGAGCGGAGAAGTCCCCCTGACTGGGCAGTGGGGCAGCACAGCCATGGTCAGGTGTCAACATTCCCTCCCCTCATCTGCATGTGCAGGGGGAGGCCAGGTCAAGTGTCAGAACAGGCTGAATCTCTAGCAGAGTTGTTTCCTCTGATGGAGGGAGGAGAAAGGAAGCTCGTGTGTGTGTGTGTGTGTGTGTGTGTGTGTATGTGTGTGTGTGTGTTCTGATGGCTAAGACCAGACTCCAGATATGCAGGAGTGACGGAAACGGCAAATGCAAGAACTCCACTCTGTCTGGGTCTTAGGACTTGAAATGAGATGACTTCCCTGTCCCCCAGCCTACTGTTTCCGGTGCAGTAGAAGCCAGGGAGGCAAAGAGGGCTCCAAAGCAGATGAGGCAGCCCCAGGGCCCTAGCCCAGTGTCCTCTCAGCACACTTGCACCCGATGGGTCCCAGGATGAAGAGGACCCTCCCTTGTCTACTCTCTCCCAGGCAGGAGGGAGAGGAAGAGACACACCAGGCAACTCCATCCCAGAAGGTAGAAAGGGAAAGTCCTGGGCTCCGAGCGGGGCTGAGGAGGACGGGAAGAGCTCTTGGTGGGAAAGCACTGATGAGAAGGGTGGTCATACTGAGTGTGGGGACCGAGCCTGCACAGGGAAGAGCTCTTGGTGGGAAAGCACTGATGAGAAGGGTGGTCATACTGAGTGTGGGGACCGAGCCTGCACAGGGAAGAGCTCTTGGTGGGAAAGCACTGATGAGAAGGGTGGTCATACTGAGTGTGGGGACCGAGCCTGCACAGGGAAGAGCTCTTGGTGGGAAAGCACTGATGAGAAGGGTGGTCATACTGAGTGTGGGGACCGAGCCTGCACAGGGAAGATGCTGCTTCCCCAGATAGGACGCTCACCTGGTGGAACCCTGTGCAGGTTACCAGCTTCCGGGACTCAGGGAGGAACTGTATATCCTGTTCCCAGATGGGAACCCGCAGGTTAAGCCAGTCGTTCCGAACCTGGTGGGATGGGTAGCTGGAGAAGAGGGGCTGTGGGGCTCTGCATGCGCCCTCATCACCCTCTACAGCCTCGCTGGCCTCTCAGTGCAGCCAGTGAGTCGGAACCAGGCTGGACACCAGCCCTGCCCCTGCACACCCATCACTCACGTTCTTGGCTCTGAACAGAGGCTCCTCAGAGCCCTGGAGGTCCCACACCTTCAGAGCGTTCTCCTTTCCGCCAGTAGCAACCACGTGGGGGTGGGTTGGGTCTTGTCGCATCTTGCACACCCCGGGGCCTACCTTCAGCTCCAAAAGCTGCAAAGATGAGAGTCATCTTGGAGGACCACCCCCACAAAATAGAAAAAAATCTCCCTGCCCCCAAGTCCTCCTCAGGCTCCTACCCAGCCCCCACTCCCCCAGGGAGCCTCACGTGGTCGGAAGACGCCTCCTTGTCATTGCCTTGCCAGACGCGGAGGATCCCAGAATCCACACACGTGATGAGGTTCCTGCAGAGAGGGAGGATGGAGTTGAATTGGGTGGGGGGGAGGGGGGAACCAAAAGGCTCTAGTGGAGCCCCAAGTCAACTAAATATCAAATTAGGAGAGGAGAGTATACAACCCACTCAATGGGACTGGACATCAGAATTGTATGGGAATGGATATATTGGATTCCATAAGATATGCCCCACCTCACCCCCCCCAAAAAAAAACTGTGACAAGAAAAAAAGGGTTGCTTGGAGTAGGGTGAGGGAGGGAGGGGACAAAGGAGAGCTGATGTCAGAGGATTCAAGAAAGGAAATGTTTTGAAACGGGTTGTAGCAATTGTGCAAGACTGCTCGATGTGATTAAACTATGGAATGTTAAGATCTCTGTAAGAGCTCCCAGTAAGATGAGAAATGATTAAAAAAAACTTTTTTTAATTAGTAGGGAGACTTCCTCCCATCAACTCAGCTCCTACAGAAGCCCCTAGGGAGCTGGGGTCTGGGCAGAGCTTGACAACTTCCAGGTCTGCTCTCATTTCGTTTCAACGAGGTGAGAGAGAGCCAGTTTCTGAACAGGAAACCAAAGCTCTGCACAGTGAACGATTAAGCGTCAGATCCAGAACTGGAAATCGCCTGCTAGTGCACAGCTCCATCTGGGGACATCTGGCCTTGCTGGTCTGCCTGCATTTGAAGGCCGGCACCGGCACTGGGAGTCAGAATCAGCAGCTCGGAAAGGACTGAGGCGAGGCTGGCTTGCACTCCGGGTTTGGAGAAGTGAAATCCCAGTTTCTCTCTCACGTCTTGTTCTGGGTCCCAGGCATTAAAAGCACGTCTCTTCTTCACAGCACCCTTCTCTGAAGTCCAACTTAGTCTGGTCCCAGGTTCTGGGGGACCTGTGGCCAGGCTCCCTCTCACACGGGCCTGCCCTC